GGCCAGGAATGGGTAGTCTACTGCCCCTTGTGCACTGGAAGGCCACAGGCCCTGATTTACCGTGAACCATCTGGACATTGCCACCATCTTGATAAAACAGCGTGGCTTTGTTTGAACAGGAGAGACCAAAACAGGCTGAGATGCTCTTTATTGAATTGGGCGATATTGGATTTATGGAACTCAAGTTTCTGATGACAAAATATTATCTGTGTGACCAAATAAAGATGAACAAAGCTCAGAGACAACTCAGGAGGCAATTTCGGCCACTAATCCCCTCTTGGGCCGCTTATCGCACCCTGGGATGGTGTCATCTGTAGGGCTGGGACATAAAGTGCCCTTTTGGATTTTTCTTAAGCTAACATTAGTAAATTGTACATAAATTTAATCTTGGCTAAAAGGTAAAGATAGTCCACAGCCAAGGGCAAGGCCACCATCTCGCAGCAATTGCTGCGCTTTCTGTCCAATCAGACACAAACCAAGAGGAGGAAATGTGGCTCTCTCCACTAATCAATTACATTTGAGTAATTGATCGTATATTATTATTGATGAAAGCCCATAATATGTGAGTTAGAAGGGAGTGGGCTCTCAAAAGATTAGATTTGTATACGAAAATGGAAGGAAAAAAAATGACTCCCATAAAGTCATTTGAGAGTGGTTTATGGCTCCTGCCTGGGTGGACCCGAGGCCTCGTCCCCGAGGCTACTGTCCTCTCCCTGCCTATTGTCCACCTGGCGAGACTCGGATGTTAGCAGAGAGAAAGTTATGAGGCCATGGGACCTGCCGAGGATGGTGGAAGGGTCACCAGAGGGAAATGGGGGTGCACGCTGGCGTGGTGGCCTCGGACAGTTTGATGAAGCAGCCTGACAGCACAACTTCCCTGCAGGGATTGAAGGCAGCAAGCTCAGATAAGGAACAGCCGCCCCAGATCGGACTCGACTGTGGTGGATGGGGGGCTCTAGGTGACCCTCAGGGTCCTTCCAGAATCAAGAGTCTAGGGATCTCAAGAACGCCCAAGTCAGCACCAAGGGTGACAAAAAGAGACCATGAATAAACAAACGGACCCCCTTTATCATGGTAACATCCTTCACGCCCCCCAGACAACCTACTCATTGGCCTTGACCAGTGCCCACCCATTTCTGGGGGCCATGCAGGCTGTCCCCCTCCCTCCTCTTCCTGCCAGCACAGGTCTCCTCCACTTTGCAAGCAAACAGAGCAGGGTGATGGGAGACCCCACTTTCCACCCACCAGCCTACCAGGCTCTGCAGATCCGCCCCCCATCATTTCCCCGTCCCCTACAGCCTCCCCGCCCCTAGTCTGTACAGGGCAGAGCCACTCCCTCCCAGCAAGTTCACTCTCTTCCTTGGCCCCCCTCAGAGTGCACTTGACTTCGAATCACACCAGCTTCCCCCTGTGAAAAATAGGTTGTCTCCCAACTGCTACTACATCCTGTGAGGGCACCTGGTTCCCAGGCCAGCCTTCCTGCCCACCCAAAGCCCACACTACACCTCAGCCACACCCCAAGATGTGTTTGACCTGCCAATGTGACATCCACGCTACCCAAATGTTTCTCATTCACTCAGCCATTCATTCATTGCACAAAGGGCATCGTTGGCTGACCTACTCTCTGTGAGGACCTGGGATGCTGAGTGAGCCATGCTGACACCCTTGCTTCCTCTGGGAACTCAACAGTCAACAGGGATCACACAGGCCAGTAGCCCCTGGTGAGGTAAGGCAAGGAGATCACCCCACAAGTGAGAACAGAAAGAAAGCCCAGGTATCCACCAGCTCCACTCTGTGATCTGTGTGAAGTCCCCAGCCCTAACAGCCACATCCATGCAAGCGCCTGGCTGTGCCTCCCTGTACCTCCCTGTCTAGGAGGCCCTTCCCAGTCTCTTTGGAGGAGCCTTCTGTCTAAATCCTTTTTCTTAATTGAGATGAAAGTCACAGAAAATAAAACTCACCATCTGTTCGCATTACCTACTTCTCCTGGGTCCAATTTTGTCCATCTATATTTTAATACACTTTATATATTTAATTAATGTTTTTGTAAGAAGACTTCTCTTTAGTTAAATGAAGTTTTCTGTAAAATACTTTAAAGCCCTCCTGATGTCTTAGGCACATCTTTAGTCTCATTCTTCATTGCTTCTTCTTTGTTCTTTGTTTCTTAATCAGGTTCACAAGAGACATATCTACTGGATGGATCTTTTTAAGGAAACAGGCCTGGGATTTATTAATACTTTCTACTGTTTCAGCTTGTTTTCTATGTATTTTGTCCTTTGTCTCTGTCATTTTGATCTCTTTTTAAAAACTCTTTAAGATAGTCAACCTCCCTATCTTTGATCTTTCTTGCACAGAAAGGGGAGTGTTCAAGACATTCTTATTTCTCTGAGGGACTTCCTCAATGCTCTCACACCACTCTCCTATTTCAGTCATCCTTCTTTTAAGCTCCAACGACATAATAAAGCCCAACTGGCTCCCCAGTTCCATTCTCCCCTTCGTATTAACAGAGCCCTCAGTTTTTATTGGACAAAACTGCATCTCCCAGCATTCCTTGAACTGGGTGTGGTCATGTGACTGCATTCTGGCCAATGGCAATCGAGCAGCCTGGGGAGCTTGCCTTCTGTCGGGATACAGGTGTGGTGAGCCATTGGGAAGGGGGTCACCTGGGATGGTGGAGCAGTGAGCGATGGGCCTGCTGCTGACCACCACGCAGTGCAGACTTTTATATTAGAAAAGAGCAGAAGTTACTACTCCTAATTTTAATAGCGTGTGACTAGTAAAAATCCCCAGGTCTTCTTAAGGTTTTCTTGTAACCGTGCACATGACCCATTGCTAAAAACACCAAAAGCGTTTTGCAAAAGTGCACTGTTGACTTGAAGTGTGAAATGTTTTATAAGTAAATTGAGTTTTCAGATAATGTGGTTCGATTTCTCTCTAACTTATTTATTGAACATCTACTCGATCAATTTGATTTTGAAAATGGTACTTGTAATTCCTCCTGGAGTCGAGCTTTTATTAAGTTCTTGTAAGTTTAAGCAACGTGGCCTCGTTGATTAGTGCGTAACACAGATTCATCGTTTCATCTCGCTCACAAATTGTTCTTTTAATTATTCAAAATGTCTTTCTTCCCCACTTAATGCTGTGGATCTCCAACACTACCTTCCCTCTTCCTGTCTGCCTGTGCCTGGCACTTGGTGACACATCTCTGCTTTCATGCACTGTCACTTCCCTGAAAGCTTCTTGAAAATGCATACCACTTTCTTAAAATCCAATCTGAGAATCTTTTTCCAGGGGAATTCAGCCCAATATTTGGCAGTCTTCATCCTATGGGCACCAGCTATCATCATTACCATTTATTTATTATTATTAATTACTCTTCTAGAGTGTAGGAGCACCAGATCCAGATCCCGTCCCTCTGAGCACTTTGTAGACATCTTTTGGCTTTTGGTGACAAATGGCACATCCATCGCCAATATGCTCCTTTTTCCTTTAAGGTAGCTGCTATGGTTTGGATGTCTCCCAAAGGCCCCTGCATTGAACACTTAGTCCCCAAGGTGGCACTGTTGGGAGGTAGTGGAACTTTTGGGAGGCAGGGCCTAGCAGGAGGGTCTTAAGTTATTGGGGGCTGCTCTCAAAACAGACTGTGGCCTCGCTTCCTCTTCTCTCTCTCTGCTTTCTGGCAGTTCCCAACCGTTCCCAACAGCCCACATCAGAGGCCAAACCAATGCAGCCCCTCCATCTTGGACCCTGAACTGTGAACTAAATTAATCTTTTCTCCATAAAGTCAGCTGCCTCTGAGGTCTTACTGGCAATATAAATGCTTATATGGTTTTTGCTTTTCCTTCAAGTTCAGGGATTTAATCAGAATGCACCTGTGTGTTTGCACTGCTCCTATCTAGACCTTTGACCTCTTCCAAACTACAGGTTGCAACAGTCCATTAGCATCCAGACTGACACTGCAGGTGAGCAGCTGCGAAGTTTATGCCTCAAGTCCAAACCCTACTACCTTTCAGTGTGACCTTATTTGAGGAGTCTATAAAGGTAATCAAATTAAATTGAGGTCATCAGGGTGAGCTTTAATCCAATTTAAGAAAAGGAGATTAAGACACAGAGACACACACAACACAGGGATGATGTGAGGACAAGAAGACCGCCGTCTACAAGCCTAGGAGAGAGGCCACAGGAGGAACCAATCCTGCCCATGCCTGGGTCTTGGACTTCCAGCCTCCAGGACCGAGACGTTAAGTTTCTGCCCTTGAAGTGCCCAAGCCGTGGGACTTTGTTACACAGCCCTACCTGACTGACATGTTGCTCCATTCTGTGCTGAGGCTAGATGCCTGGAGGTAGACTCCAGGCCTACCTGATGATAAGACTGCTGAACCAGAACAGGACACCTGTGGGGAGCATGGGACCAAGGAATGTCCCTTGACCTGAGCTGGTGACATCACAAGATTGAGGGAGGACTGAGGAAGAGCCATCGTCCCAGGGCCAGGGCCCCGTGGAGGTCTATGAGACTCCTCAGGCCTAGCTGCAAGGTACTGGGTTCTGACTGGCTCTCCTGCCCTTGAGGTCCTGACCCTGACTCTGTGTCACTGCTTACCCCACTCCTCCCATCCAGTCCCGGTCTTTCTCCTCCACACTCCTGGACACTCAGCCTGAAACAGCAAGACCCAGAGCAAGACCCCTCCTTCTTCCTCACTCCAGCCTCAGTTTTCTCATCTATGAAGTTGTCTGGGTCCAATGGGCCCAGCACAGATGCCTCTGGTCCTGTCCCCTGCAGGGACCAGGCCAAGTGTCCTCAGAGACAAGGGCCTGATTTCCTCCCCTCCCACAGGTGCCCCTGCACAGAGCCTCTGGCCATGGCAGGTGAGTAAAGTCACTTTAATAAACAGCAAAGGTTTTGTGCAATATCTGTGGCAGACAAAATCAAGAGCCAGGAGCCTGGATGTGGAGGTGGGCTGGAGTCTCCACGTCGAGGCAGGGGCATAGTGAGGGACACTCTAGTACTTGAGCAGCCAGCGTGGCCTGTGGGGACTCAGTGACGTGAAGTAGGACCACCACCACGGCTTGCTCCCACCAGCTGAGGGCTGCCTGCGTGCCCCGGGGGGCTCAAGGTCCAGCTCCGTGGTCTCCCCCCAAGGCCTGGGACCTCCCAGTGGGTCCTGGGACCCAGAAGTAGTTCTCCGAAATGCAGGAAGGAATTTCTTGGGTCCTGTCCCTAGAGGCTGAAGAATGAAGTCCACGCGGCCTGCCCTCTTCATCCGGAGGGGGATGACGACTCTCTTCACGACCTTGGAGTAGCCTGGGGCTTGGGCAATGACCACATAAGACCCTGGGGGCAGCAGTCTCCAGTAGTCGCCATCCGGGGCTTTGAAGAGAATAAAAGTGACTCTCACTGGGGCTGCAGACCCAGTCTCAGGGTGATGGGTGTGAGAGCAGAGTACCCCAAATTTGTACTTACCTCTGCATCTACCTCTGCATCCACCTCCCATTTCTTCTCTCTGTCAAACTCCTGTTCATCCTTCAAAGCCCTGCTCAGGTACGACTTCTCTGAAGGCCTCACTGACCATCTCCAGCCCCATCCCTAACCCATATCGTTAGTAAGTCCCACTCTCCACTGGACTGTGACTGCCAGGTAACTCCCATCACAGTGCCCTGTGAACTTCAACCAGTTGTGAAGTGGCTAAGGGCAGAGCCCATGCCTGGCCCCAGTAGCTCATCATGGACTTGGGGATATACGTGAGTGGGCTCACGGGGGACGGCAGGGGAGAGACACTCACCTGTGCTGATGTCGTGGCGGATGCCTTTAACTAAGATGCGGGCGTTTTTGACAGGCTTGCCGAATTTGTCCATCACCACCCCCTTGATGCCTCGGTGTACCTGAGAGACCAAGGAGAGGGCATGGAGGAGGTGTGTGCTCCCCAGGACAGATTGAAGGGTTGCCCCTGCTAGTTCCCCGCAGCCTCCTGGGTCTCTAGGGAACTGTCGACTGAGCCCCATCTGTCCCCCCATGCTGTGTGGTTATGAATAAGTCGCTCCCTATTCTGGGCCTCAGTTTGCAAGTGGCCCCACAGTTCTCTCCAAGGGTCCGGCTGACTCCAACTTCTGGCTTCAGACATGGAGCAGACGACCTTCACTGTCCACCTCTGTCACATCTGAGCTCCCTCCCGCCTTCCCAGCCTCAGCGAGTGGTCACTGATCCCTCTGAGCGGAGGCCTCCAGAGACAGCCAGGGCATCTATGGGAAAAACAAACCCAGGACTCAGAGCCTGGCTAACACCTCTGGTTCCCTGGCTCTGGGCGAGCTGCCTGGCACCTGAGCACACTTCCCTGCCTGTGCACTATGTACGGGGTGGGGGGGGGCACCTGCACCACAGGTGTTTGGTACTGCAGAGAACAGCCGTGTCTGGATGCGACCCACTCAGTCTTTGCTGTGAACTGGTCTATACACACCCAGCCTACACTGCCTCAGGGGCTCATGACTTTGGCCAACCATCTCCTTCTTTGTACCTCAGTTTCCTGCTCTGTAAAATGGGTCTAAGTGAAGCAAAAGCCACCAACGGTGCCCTGGGACTTGCAGTGCTTCACACGCTGTCCTAAATTTCAGCAATGCACAAACTCACTCATCCCTGGAGTCTCAGCCCCATCTTGACGGATGAGAAAACCCAGGGTGAGTGTCTGACAGCTGCACAGCTGGGTTCATGCCAGTGTTCACCCCCACTTTTGAGTGGGGACGCTCAGGACAAGCTGGCTCCCACAGACCCCATGTCATCTCTTCCGTGTCTCAGTTGAATCCAAAGTGTCAGAGAAGATTTGGGAAAGCAGAGCACGTGGAATCTGGGGGAGCACATCTCGGTTTCTCAGCCTCTTGATGAGGTGGTCTAGGTGTGACTGGCCACCACCAGGACCCCTTGGTCTGGTGACCACCACCTGGATGTTTTGTCCACATTTGCTCAGGATTACAGCCTCCTGCAGACCCCAGGTGGGGAAGGGGGCGGGAGCTGAAGACATAGGCTTTCCCAAGTGGACGGTAGGAGAGGCCACCAAGCTACCTGGCTCCTCTGTGGCGCCTCTCACCCCCAGGGTAGCACCTGAGCCTCCCCGTAGCATGCAGGCCTCCACTGTGGTCTGCAGCCACTCTTATCTCCAGCAAGTGTGCTGGGCCCCAAGGCCTCCACAATCCACCGTCTTCACCCTCCCTCTGCTCAGATCACTCAGGCCATCACCCACACCGGGCTGGCTTCTCTGTCCTTTCCAAACACAACTCACTCCCCTCCTCCAGGAAGCTGTCCAGCCATCCATGTGGCCTTCTCCAGGTCCCAAAGCTCTGTGCTCCCCATGGCCCTGCCCTAACCTCACTGTGACATGTCTTCTGCCTCCCCTAACCCCACCTGAGAGCAGGGCTGGCCGTGGGAAGTTCTCATCCAAGGTCGGCTTGCACTTTGCTGTGCTTGCTCCCCCACCAGAGTCCTCTCTTGCCATATGGGGCTCTGCTACTCCCTTCTCCTCCCTGCCCTGAGCAGTGTAGACATCCCCACCCCAGGCCTGCTCAGTATCACTGAGAAAATAGCCTCAATTGGCCACGACAGACCCGATGCTTATCTCAGGGCTGCACCCAGCTTTGGTGAGGGTCATCCGTCCCGGGAGCTGGCCAAGTGCTGCCCGGCTGTCCGCGGCTCCACTGGCCATTAAATCTTCATATCCCAAGACTTCACGTACAATATCCATGGAGCAATCCCAGCTCCACTGCATGCCCTTAAAACTCATTTGCACCAGACAGCCATAAAATGCAGGGAGCATGGAGCTCGGTCCACTGCCCCTCTCAAAGGACAAGACTGACCACCTGTGCGTACAGGACTCACCAACACGAGAGAGCCGAGCAGCACAGCCGTATTCAGCTATCGTCTGGGGCATTGTGACATTTCTATTGCCGCTGTTGTGGCTGCCACAGGGAGCCCGTGCTCTGACCTTACCTGGAGGAAGTCTCCTGATCTTTCTAGAAAGAGCCAGGTCTAGGGACAAATAGATCCAGGCCTGAGCGCCAAGCAGTTGCCAAGCCATGCTACTCCCTGACCTTCTGTCTCCTCCTCTGTCTCTTAGCCCTGGGGCTCTTCAGGCCCAGACTGGCACCACCCTTCCTGTCTGTAGAGAGGCAGCCCTGATATCGCCACACGTGGGTGGCCACCAACCACCAAGTGCTATGCACCTGCCACTCCTGCCACCTTTCTGCTGGAGACCTGCATGGACTTATTGGTGTGGGGACACCAATAAGCAGCCTGTGATTCTTAAAAGAGATGGGAGAAATTAGCAGGGCTTCTGCGGGTACAGTTTGTCTCCCCTTGGCCTCCCAAGCCCTACTCAGAACCCCACTGCACTTGTCTGAGCCACACTGGGCAAGGCAGCAGGCATGGGCTCCTAGTTCCCCCACGTTAAGTTTCCAGGAGACCTTGGCTCTCTGGGCCCAGCAGGGGTTACTGTGGATGCATTTTCAGCTGTCTCCACTCACTGTCCACCCACCCGTGTCCAGATGACCTCACCCCTGAGACGGTGTTACCTTCAGACATCTGCAGCCTCTGACACGTGGACACTGTGTCACCCAGAGCTATCTCCTCTCTGCCACAGTGCCCACTCCATTCTCATAGCCACAGAGACCCCACTGTGCTCAAATGTCCCAGGGATCCCCAGGCTTGCCGCCCCCCCCCCTGTGCCCTCCTGTGCCCCATCAGGCACAAGATCCTGGCTCCTGCCGGCTCACCATCTCCATGAAGTTCAGCAGCGGCTCCTTGTTGTGCTGCCAGAGCCCGTAAAGGGCCTCCTCCGGGGGAAACTTCATGCAGCCCAGCTCCACGGTGATCTCGAAGCAGTTGGTGTGCAGGTAGTTGAAGTCAGACATGCCTGGGGGTGGGGCAGCCCCATGTCAGGACAGAGAGGGCCAGTGAGCACGCTATCGCGACTGTCAGCATTCACAGGCCCCAAGACCACTGCCATCCATCCATGGCTGTTCTCCCCATGCCGGCCTGCCCCATGGCCCTGCCAGCTGCAGAAGGGGACCCCTGTGACTTCTCCTGGCTCAGTCCCACCCTGAGGGACCATTGCAGACTTCAGTAACAGAGCCAAGACCAAGGCTTAGAGAACTGAGCCTGGGGTCGGGGAACCTGTGCACTTGAGTACTGGAAGGAAGAGAGGCTGCCTTGGGAAAGATGGCCTGTGCCTGTCATGGACTCGTGGGAAGGTCACCTGGGCCTGACAGTGACTTCAGAGCGCCCTCTGCTGTCCTGCACAGGAGGGTGGGATTAGGCTGCAAGTTCTGACCCGGTCACTACTGATGGACCTAAGCAAGTCTCTCTCGTCCTCATCTGCAAAGCAACACGGATAATGTGTGTGTGCCAGGGTGGAGCACACAGACGGACGCTCGCCGCACGGACGGCGGCATGATGTCCGAGGACTGGCCCAGCAGGCACCCCTCAGGTGCCCCACGACACCTTCACCAGGAGCGGCTATAGCCAACGAAAACACAGAGGACTGGCTCAGGCGGGTGAGTGCCTGCTTGTCAAGTGCAAGGCCCTGAGTTCAAGCCCAAGTACCATCAAAAAGAAAACACAGAGGCCAGTGAATGCTGAGTTTCAGAGAATCAGCAGTCTTAGCATAAGGACAATCCCTGCAAGTTCTTACAGTGTAAGTATATCCCACGCATCAGGACACACTTGCACAGTACCAAGGAATTCCTTGTCTCTCTGAAATGTCAACTCAACTAGGCATTTCACCTGGAGACCCTACTCAGATCCTTAAAGGCAAAATGGGTTGGTCACGAGTGGAATCATGACATGTGCGCATTAATAAAGCGAGCAACAGAAGGTCACAGGGCCAACTCTTCTGCACCCCACCTTTCCACAAAGACAGAGACAAACTCAAGCCAGACTCTGCCCAACCACGAAGGCTGCCCACTGCCGGGCTCTCCACCTCCCAAACTGAGGTCTCGGGAGAGGTCACAGAGGAATCTGCACCCTCCTGCCCACCGCGCGAGGCCGCACCTCCCGTGAAGCTGTACCAGTCGGCTCCGTTGATGATGCTGCCCCGTTGCAGAAAGTTGCCCCCACATCTGTTCTCCGACCTGTCCATCATCATGGGGTGGACGTCGGCGTAGGCTCTGGACAGCAGCTTGAACATCTGGAAAGGACAAACCCTGAAGGCTGTCCAGATTTCCCGGGACCCCAATGCAAGGACAGGCCTATCGCACAGGTGGGAATGGTGTCCAGACACAGGGCGTGGCGTGTGCAAAGACCTGCAGGTGGGCCACAGGCAGGTCCAGAGGCAGGTGTGCTGGGTACCAGGGCGGGGTGATAACTGAGCCCTGCAGGCCTGGCTGGGAGCGTGGGATATGCCATGACACCGGCAGGACCCACAGAGGTCAGCTTTGCAGTTTATGAAGCATTACGGTCTCACAGAGAGAGGCAGGAGGCTGAGGGGCTGGAGGCAGGGGTGGACGGCGTTTTCAAGGATGTCATATGTCATCTCCCTGCCCAGCAAACTCAGTCCCTAAAAAACCATCGCTTCGTTGTCCCCAGGACCACCAGCACTCAGCTCCTGAGACTTCACCTTCAGGAGGCCCCTGATGCCCACCTGCTTGTCCAAACCATGTGTGGCTCCACCACAGTTGGCAGAGGACACAGACAACACCCAGGATCCCACAGCTGGGTGCGTGCTGGTATCCCTCCCCAGGCCACAGTTTCCCCACAAGGCCCTCTCCCCTGAGCGGGGTCCAGGCCCTTGTCTCGGATTTCAGTCATCTGAAAGTCCCCAGCTGGGCACAGGTCCTGACCCAGATACAGTCTCCAAAGGTGAGTCAGATAGATGGGTGAGCTTCCAGTACCAGGCTTGTCAGGGCACCACAACTGGGTAGGACATGCCTGAACTGGGGATGGGGCCCCTCTGGCAGAAACAGGGACACTGGGCTCGGTGACAGAGCAAGGGTCTCTCCCTGGCCAGGGTCATGGGACTTGGAGCCCAGGACCTGAGATTTGGGGGTGCAGAGGATGGGTCCAGAGGGAAGGCTGTGTGGTTCTGTCTGGGTCCTAGAGACACAAACCAAGCACCCCAACTCAGTCCCTCTTTGTCCTTTAGCCCTGAGACTGGCAGATCAGTAGCTCCTGCAACTCTGGGCCCCAGCCTGGTCATCCGGGACTACTGGTGAGCAGAGGACACTGCTGCCCCTTTGGTGAGGAGACCACGGATTTCTACATGGAGAATACATCAGGTCAAAGTGCTGTGCGTGCAGCCCGCCGATGCTGATGGTTACCTTGCTACCAGCCTGTCCATGTCCATTTCTCTGCCCCGCACCATCCCTGTCAACACAGACCTGGGGCTGGGGATGGGCCTAGCACCTGACACTTTGCTCCCCTCAACATAGCCTCACCTAGGCCTCCTCACCATCTTTGTCCTGGGGCCACCGTCCTAGTCTCTGTCAGACTTTGAGTTAAAGCATGGAAGGTGGCTGTTGGTACCTGTCCCCAAGATCCTGGGGCACATGAGCCACGTAGGCTGGCTTTGGCACAAGGACGTCCAGAGGAGCTGCCAGTCTGGAGGCCAGGTTGGCAGGCAGGACACAGACACGGATACAGGGACTGCCGATGAATCAAGGGTGGTGGCCAGCTGCCTGAGAAGGCAGCATGGACCCATTACAGAAACCCAGGTCCTTGGGCCACAGAAACCCCACTGGCCTGACTCCTGCGGAGAGCCGGAGAGCAGGAGAGTCGGGGGACAGTTGCAGCCTGCTGACTCCAGCGGTGTGGGCAAGCAAGAAGCAAGCGCCTGGTGGGCAGATGGAGCAGGATTTTGGCAGCACAGCAGGTGTGGAGGTGTAAGAGGGACTGTCTGACCCAGGGGGCCTCAAATTTGGTTCCGAGAGGCTGGCTTTCCTCGGGGAGGCTGTGTAAGCTTAGGGAAGGCATAGCTTGGGACACCTGGCCATCCCCAATCCTCGTGCTACACCCAACTCCCACCTCTCCCGGGATTCTGGATTCTGGTTTCTACAGAGACCGCGCTGGCTGCAGGGCCGCTCCATATTGATTGATGATTGACCTGATGGGAGAGGCTTCATTTCTTCTGACTCTAGTGGGACACATTGAGGTGACCCTGCCCCTAAGGGCATCTTCACTCTGAGCTGACATGGAGGCTCTCTGGCTGCCTGAGACTTCTGCCTGCTGGTGGTGTCCCTCTCTCTGAGACACAGTGAGCGAGTGAGTCGTGAATGAGTGAGCGAGTGAGTGAGTGAGCAAGTGAATGACAGAACAGGTGAATACAAGGCAGCGAACCCTGTGGACACAGGCCTTGCTCTCCGGGTGCCTCTGGCTGGTAGGTAGGCAAGCGCTGAGCCATCCCAGACTCCTCATTCCAGGAGTCTCTGCACATACTGTCTACTGTTGTCTGTGCCTCCAGTGACCCCTGTTCCTCAGCTGGAAATCTCCACCTCACCCTTGGGCTCCACCAGAGAAGCTGCCACCTCTGGAAAGCCTCCTTCAACCCAGACCAGGCTGGGGTTCATCCCCAATGCAGGCACACACACATGCATGCATGCTCCCCATGACATGCACACACACACATGAACACACAGGAAGCCATGCTCTCACACATCCACTCTGCATGCCCCCAGCCTCCCGGGTCCCCCTGTGGTGGGCCTGGCATCCCATCCTTGTTCACTTATGGCTTTGTTGTCCTCTATACTTTGCTACAGTGGCCCCAGGAGAGGGAAGGAGCTAGGTGTCACCAGGTTGATGTCCGAGTGTCTGAGGAGGGGTGGAGGGGCAGCTGTGCCACCTGGCCAAGTGGCTCAGAGAGAGCACCTCATGTGTGAGCACCATCAGTGCTCAGTGCTGGTGCTTGACACTGTCCTATTCCTCTCTATCTCTCTCTCTGCCCTTTCCCCTAAATACCTCTTGAAAAATGCTCAGGATGGCAGACATGGCCCCCTACGCCCATGTGACCCACTAGGAGGCCTGGTGGGTGACCAAGGAGAGTCCAGACCTGCTGGTCAAGGGCACTGGCAGCGCTGGCTGTGGGCTGCAGTCCATCACTGAGCACATCCCTCCTTCCCCCTGTTTTCTCATGCACACTGTGGAAGGGACACTACTGCCCACGCCCTCCTAGAAGACAGCGTGAGTCTGGGAGCACAGCAGGGCTGGGGAGCCAGGAACAGCTTCCCACCTGGCCCCCTGCACCATGCACTCCCAGGAAGCCCAACACTTCCTGCCCAGGGAAGGGGAGGAGGCTGGGAAACCCAGCAGGCGCCATGCACGCTGCAGCACCGCCCCCTCCAGGCAGCATTTGGAATTGTGCCCGCCCCTGCGCGGGCAGGAAAACCCAAAGGCCCTGGTCCCCATCTGGCGGTTGCTCCCAGGTGTGGACACTGAGGGAAGGCACCTGGACCTCTCCCTGCTGGACCAAGGAGGTTCCTGGAGGAGTCAGCCACAAACTCAGAGACTCTGGAGGGTTCACTGTACTCGGGACTGGACAGCACAGTACTGCGGGACAACCCACCCTTCCTGGTCACAGTGACCACCCTCTCACCTTCTCATCAGGTGTGGGAGAAAACATCTTCTCCTCCAGGGGATGTCTGGAGAAGTCGAAGGGATAGGACACCACCAGGTCACCCCCGTGGAGGCTGGCCGAGAGCACAAAGGGGATGGACCGCACCCACTTCATGATGGCCTTTGTCTCAGGGGCCACCTGCCAGGACAGAGAAGCCGCCCTCAGGACTGTGCTTTACAGGCCACTCTGGCCACACCATGGGGTTCCAACCCTCTCTAGGGCCTCTGGACCCTTCCCACCCTAGAAATTCCTGCCCAGTCTTTAGGGTCCCTTTAGACACCTCCAGGCTCATGCTGGTCCTTCCACCTGGAACTTTCTTCCTGGACTTCTGGGGATGTCACCCCTTCAGGACCCTCCTCAGGGCCCCAGGATGGCCAGATGTCATCCTTAGGCCTTTCCAGCTCCTGGCTACCCCTGTCCCTGCACTGAGCAGGTGACATTAGCTGCAGGTGCCTCTGCCTACAGGAAAGCCAGCCCCTCAGAGGAAAGAGCCCGTGTTGGGCCCAGTGCTGTTGTATGTCAGGTGCTCAGCAAATAGACTCTATCGAAGGTCCCAAAGCAGAGCATCCTCTGGGCCACAGAAAGGGCATCTTCCACCAGTCACAGAACCATAGCCAGGCCCTGCTCGGGATGAGGGGCTTTCAACACATTATTCCTTGAATCTCATCCCCACCACAGAGAGGCATTGTCGCACCTCACAGGCAGAACGCCGAGGCTCAGAGGACCAAGGTGCTCCTACCCCCTTGAAAAGGACAATGACTCCTGAGAGTCCCGGAACACCCAGGCCCCTCCTCAACCACAGGGCTGGACGCAAGCCCTAGGGGGCAGATGCAGGCAGTCTGGCTCCTACCTTACCCCACCAGTAGTGCGGCGGGATGGGGATGTGATCACCACGCAAACTGCGGGAGGCGGTCAGCCGGTAGTACTCGGACGTCAGGTCCGGGAAGTTGCGGTTCAGGTCCAAGTTCTGTGCGTTCTGCCTCCCACTCGTCCACCCGTTGTAGCCAGCACCCTGAAAACACAGGCCAGTCCAAACTAGGGGCGAGCAACCCGTCCCACTCCTTCCAAACCAAGGCCTCGGCTGGGCTGAGAGTGGGAGCTGCGGCTGCATTTTCACTCTAGCTTCATGCGATGAGCGAAGGGTTGGACACCCACGCGTCCAGCTGAGTCACCGTTGACCTCTCCCATGCACCGTTCCTCCACACGGCCTTCCTGCTGGGCTCAGGGCCTCACGTGCTGCTCCCTGCCCGGAGCCCATTCCATTTGTTCCCTGCCTCCCTTATCTCTGAGCCTCATCCCAGAGCTTCCCCACCCTCACTCTCACACTGCTCACACTGCCAGCTCCCTTTTCCACCACAACTTTCCTCCATAACCATCCATCATCAGTGCCTGCCCCTCCCGGTCCCCGCCCCCAGCAGGACCTGGCCAGGACTGATGTCTGTTGACCCCCTGTCCCCTAGAACAGTGGGTCTGAATAGACCTCCGATAATGATTCGCAAATGGGCAGGTGAGGAGTTCAAAGGCAGCAGCCCACCCGCGACCCGGGCAGTGGGAGTGCCCACCTCTGCAGCGGCCACCTCGTAGCCATCGGGGTTCATGGAGGGCAGCAGGTGGACGCGGGTAGTGTTGAGCAGGCGCTGGATGCGGAGGTTGCCCAGCAGGTACTCAGAGCACAGGTACTGGGCCAGGTAGATAAGCATCTCCCTTCCTGCCACCTCGTTGCCATGAATGTTACCGATGAGCTTCACCTCAGGTTCCACTGAGGGGAGAGACAGTGCCGTGGTGTGTCGTGTCATTGCCCAGGGTCCCCCGTGCCAGGGCGATCAGGTATGCCTGGACTGATTTATACTCATTTTGGCCACTACTTCTCAAGCTCATTTCTTTGGTGACTCATGATTATTAGCGTGACAAATCAAGGATACTAGTAATGGTAAATGGTGCCATTGATTCGTGTGACTGCCACCGATACACAGCCACTTGCCGTGTTGCACATAAGTCAAGCACAGTGGTGCCTAGTTGAGAAAGCAGCTGGCCCTGGGATAGATGAGTGGGTGGATGGCAGGATAGAAGGAAAGGAGGGAAAAAGGGAAGAGAGGGGAGGAAGAAAAGCAGGAAGGAAGGGTGAAAGTCGGAGTGAATGGATAGATGGGTGGATGGATGGATGGGTGGATTGATGAAAAGTTGGACGATGGGGGTATATGAAAAGAGGGATGGATGAAAAGATGAATGGGCGAGTGAATAGATGAATGGATGGATTGGTGAGTGGATACATGGATGAATGAATGAATTAAAGGATAGATGGCTGGGTGGGTGAATGAGTGGGTAGATGGATGGATGGATGGGTGAATGGATGAATGAGTGAGTAGATGGATGGATGGATGGATGGATGGATGATGGGTGGGTGGATGGATGGGTGGATGGATGGATGGATGGATGGATAGATGGGTGGATGGATGGGTGGGTAGATGGATGGATGGATTGTGGGAAGAAGAGTGGGCTAAGCCTGGCAGCTTCATTTACTGTGTGACTGTGGGAAGGTCGCCTCTCCTCACTGAGTCTCACATTGCTCAGCTGGAAAATGGCATCTCCCTCCCCAACTGTGCATGGCCCAACAATTTCAGCTATGGGAGTGATACCCACGACCTTCAACCTCCACATTCCATGGTATAAATGACTGAGAGACTTCCATGCCAGTCACTGCCCTTGACCCTCTGCAGTGGTGGGAGCAGGGTAGGTGCTGGAGGCCGAGTGGGGTCCAATGACCTCTGACTCTGTATGGGAGACAGGGTCTTTGGGCTCACAGTGAGACCAACAGGATGAAATCTGAGCTAGGCTGGGCAGCACAAGGGTCAAATGGGCAGTTTCTGGGTTAACCCCATTGGTCATAGGGACAACTGGGCTGGGGGCAAGGCTGAGGAAGAACCCAGACTCAGTGATCCCTGCTAGTCTGTGCCCTGGATGCTCTCAGTGCCCAGAGGGTGGGGACCTGTGTGGTCATCCTGGCCTCACCACACAGGAAATGGAGGCCCCCAGCCATGAGCTGAGTCTCCTTTAGAACACTCTAGATTCCAGGATGCAACCAGTCTCTCTCCTGCAACTCAGAGCAGGCAGCAAGTATACTGTAGCAAGGTTTGACTTCTTAATTCACCACACAGGAAAACAGTTCCAAAGAAACAGTACAGTCTAGCACTTTCCACACTGCTCACTGCCCACTCAAAACAGGCCTCCAAGTCTGGTGAGTGTGGAAGTAGACTTGGGGCCTCAAGATGGAAAAGCCTCTATAGTCACATCACCCTGTTGGTGGCACATTCCCAAGCAGCTAGGCAGTACACAGGGAAAGTGACCAGGACCCAGGACTGCACAGACCTGCCTGGGGCCCAGTGCTCAAGGGCAAGACTACAACAGAGTAGGACACAAAGAGCATGGTGACATGCTCCTCACGGGGCCCTGGGGCCTGAGCTCCAACAGTCATGGCACACTGCCCCTCCCCAAAAGCAGACGTCCTCTCTGGGACCTGCCCACGTTCTTCTGTCCTCCCTGCCTCCCAGGAGACCTCGCACTCTCCCTGAAGACACTTATTATTTTTACTTCCACCCAACCCCTTCTAGGTCGGTGTCTGGCACACCCGAGGCGCGGCAGGCCCAAAGCCCTTTCCCGGGGGTAGAACCACACCCAGGCCTCTCATGCAGGCACTCACACAGCTCATGCTGGCCAGGGCGACTTGAGAACTCAATGACCAGCAGGTCCTTGCCGTCGAAGCTGCGCCCGATGCTATAGGTCTTCGCCACCTGGGGGCAGCGGGCTGCTGTCCGCTTCAGCACCCGTACCATCTGTGTGTAGGAGTGGTGGGCGAAGTGGATGAAGGTGGGCGGAACACCCGAGGGCAGCGCTTCCTCCACCTCCAGGTCTCCTGGGAGAAGCAGGAAAGCTGGGGTTGGGCACTGCCCACTGACCAGTGGCTCAGTTAGCTCTGCCAGCGTACCCTACCACCAGCCGGGGACACCCAGTCTCTCCCAGCATCTTCATCCTTATACTGTAGCCAACTGGGGAGTCCTATGTGTCCTCTTTGGGTGGCACTGCCAACCAGTGTTTATGTTTTTTAATTAAAATTGCCTTTTTAACACTTATAACAACATTGACAGCCGATAACTGTGCCCCATATGGCACCAAGACACTGTTTCCAACACTGTGAGTGAAAGGAAGCGGGGACTTGGGGGAATTCTGACAAGCAGAACAGGACAGTTTAAGAGAAGACACATCTAAGAGTCTTCAAACCATGGAACCAGAGTGGCACTACCACTTCTGCATCTCTGTTTTCTGCTGAGACCCCCGTGTCACCGTAGCACTGACACAGTCCCACGTTCTGCGCTGCTTACTGGCACCATGGCACAAGCTGCATCAATACCAGCATGAATCAGAGAGACTCCTCGCAGTCTCCAATCCCTGCTGGGATTACTAACAGATGTTGTTGCTGTTACCGCCGTGCAGTCAGTGCCTCCACCAGGAAGCAGAAGGGAGGGCGAGGGTGGGGGTGAAGCCAGGCAGGACCCCTGCCCCAGCCCCTTTCCCTGCTCTTCCTAGAGCAGAAGACTTAGGGTTGGTGGCCTTGGGGACTCTCCTCAGCTGATGGCCCACAGAAGCACAAGACAGGTCCCTCAGGCCGCCCAGGGGCCACAAAGAGTTAACACATTTCCCAGAGTGCCTCTTAACCTGTGGTTTTGTTTCTGCTCAAAATGGTTGTTGAGGAGAAAGAAAGCCAGTAGAACCCACAATTTGGTGGCAGAGACGCCCAAAATAATTTCTCTCCAGCTGACTCCTGAGGTTTTTCCAGGGCAGCGGGCTTGGCGGCTGGCTTCCTTCCCACGCATTGGTCACCTCCACACCTGAGAGCCCTCCACACACACACAGCTCCTATCTGCCAGCAAAGCCTTTCTTCCCTCTGCCCGTGGTACCCACTCAGAAGCCCACCCAGCCCTCCTCAGGGATCTCAAGACTCCGAGCACCAGGATCAGCCCTGAGTGCCCCCCAAGGGCCACTGACACGTCCCCAGGTGCATAGCTGTGTCCTTCCCCTCCCCCACCATCCTCCATGACCCAGCATGGAGCCACGTACACAGTATGTGCTTAATAGGTGTTTAAGGAAGGGAAAAATCAGTCCATTCATAAATGACGGCCTGCTCACTCCAGCTGAAGATCCTAAGCTATCATCTTCCCTCCTGAAGCCCCTGATTCTCAGCTGAGACCCTGGGGCCTCGGCGGACACAGCTGCTGCCCGGCAGTGTCCAGCAGCCACACGCTGGTCACGTTAGACTGCTGAAATTCCAGCTTCAACTCATTACAATGAAATGAAATGAAAGCACCCAGGCCTGGTCTCACAAGCCACATTCCACGTGTGGCCAGTGGCTCCTGTCTTGGACAGCACAGAAGGGCACACGTGCATCACAGAGAAAGCTTGCCCAGCCAGGTCTGCTGGGGGTCATGCTGGTCTCTGGTGAATTCCACCTTTTTACCCACCAAGGTACAAAACAAAGTTGGGGTGAAAAGGTGCAGATGGGTTCCAGGTAGCCCTGTGGCCCCTGCAGCATCATGGCCAAGAGGTCCTCTGGGACCGCCCTGTACAACCACCTCCCAAGACGAATGGCCCACTATCACCCAGGGGTGCCCATACCACCTGTCACCAGTTACCCCACAGGTAAACTCAAAGCCTGTCTCTGCAGCCCCTCACACCTCCTGGAACCCAGAGAGCCGCCTTGAGGAAGCTGCACCAGCCCCACTGCCTGCGCCATCTTTTAGGGTCAGCATTGCCAGACAGGCCTGCTGGGGACATACTTGCCCACCCCAGCCCCAGTGCACAGCCAGTGCACTGCAGCTTTCTGGAGGAAGCTGTGGCTGAGGACCCAGCCTACTGAGCCACCATGTCTGGGCCCATCTCCTTCCTGGGGACAGGCACGTCCACAGGAAGCAGCACTGGCTTGCTTTACCCCGAAGCTGCTCCAGGGGGTCATAGCAGCCGTCCTCCTTCCGTGCGAAGTAGCGGGCACAGTCCAGGAAGTAGGGCCAGGCCATGTCAATGGCATCAAAGGCCGGCAGGCAGGCCTCCCGCAGGCCCTCGCAGACATGCCGGCAGGGTCTGCGTGTGCGGCCACCCTCGCACCGGGGGACTAGCACGGCACAGCCCAGCAGCCGCAGGTCAGGGTTGCACTGGCCCTCCAGAAGGTGGTGCAGGACGCCCAGCAGGATGTACTCGGAGCTGAACTCCACCGCCTCCCGTGACCGGTGCTGCAGAGGCGTGGGGAAAGCCGTCCGGTTGTACATGGCATCTGCACAGGTCCTGAGCTGCAGGTCCACGCAGGTGGCTGGGGGAGAAGGGTTAGCAGGTTACACGATGATCCATGCCAAAGGGGACCCCACCTGGGACCTGGGACTACAGGGATGGTGGCCCCCTAGTCTGGCAGGGAGAGGCTAGACAGGGCTACAGTGAGGAAGCAAGGCCTGTGGGAGAACCAGGGGATTCCTGCGGCTGACCGAGCTAAGATGCCCACTAAGTGTGCAGGGAGAGTCACGAGTCACTCTGAACCTTGGCAACTACATCAGCCAAATGGGGCAAGGAAAGCCAGCACGGCCGAAGGGTGGTCCTCACTAGGTACATGAAAGCGGTCAACAGATTGGCAGAAACAGGTGCAAACCCCTCTGAAGACAGCCCCAAAGCAGAGCAATCCCCAAAGGTGCACCCTTCTCGGTGTGTCCCAGGTCTCTGGGGACAAGGCTGGACTCTCACTGATGAGTTTGATCTCAGGGCCTTAACAAGAATGCTGAGTTCTGGCTCTGTTCTGCATCTCTGAGGCCACTTTAAGCTCAGGCTGAAGGAGGCAGGGTCCTCTGTCACTGGACACTTTTATGTTTGACACTTATGGCCATTTTTCCAGCCTGGTGTAGATAGGCTCATTCGGTTGCACCTTCTCAGGCCTTCACCTGCCAGACAGGGCCCTCCACACCCATGGTGCAGAACGGAGCCCCTGTGGCTGCTGGCTACACACTCCTGTCCCCATGTCACCTGCTCTTCCCCTTGCCATCAGACACTCCAGATGCAGCGTTGTGTGGCACAAAGCACAGATTCTACCACTTCTCTGTCAAAGCTTAGAAAGCACAGGGCTGTCCAGGTTCCCAGTTCTCCACCTGGAACATTTTACCTACGGCACTGACTTCCGTGCTGAGAAAATTTTTCCTGATTTTTTTTTTTTCCAGTCTAGTCTCTCCATGTAGAATATTCCAGATACTCAAGTCTGGCAGAAGGTTCGTCTGTCTGAGAACCGGCGTTGTCCTCAGCACTTTCCTGGGCACTTTGATATGGAAGTTTCAAAACCCTCCAGTGAGCTCACTACTTTCTCACTTCTTCAAGAAGGAAAATGACACCCAGAGGGTGGGACTTGCCCAAGCCCCCAGGCCCAGTGGTACCTGGCCACGCCAGGAGTCCAGGCATGCACCATCCCCAGGATCCCCTCTCCCAGAAAGAAAAGAAACGTACCATGACAAGGGGACGGCTCAACGCTGCCCAGCCTTCCTGACCTGAGCAGTGGGGTAGGGACCGGGAGCCCGTCTCTGAGAGCTCAGTGGACAGGCAGGATGGGCAAGCTGGAGGCCAAAGGGGCAGGTCTGTCCCTGCAGGTTTTGTCAGGTTGCTCCCAGGTGATGAAAGGGACCTGTTATTTGTTACCCTCTTTGGAAACCAGGGGCTCAGCTCTCTACAATGCTACAGTGTGGAGGGACCACAGCCTTCCCATAAAATAAAAGTGAGAGGGATATGGGCACCATACCACTGTCTGCGGCTGCCAGCCTCTGGCATTCACCTGGAAAGAGAGATGACACCACATTAGGGTCTCAGACAGAAGAGAGATGACACATCAGGGTCATGGACACAGTATTGGGGTCACAGATACCACAGTGGGGTCACGCAGCTCTGTTGTCCACTGCCTTTACCAGGTGCTCCTTGAGGACCCAGACCTGTTCCTCCCCCAGCAGCTTCATCTCACGCAACCCTCTGAAGTCAAGGCAGCAGAAACCCCCATTTCTCAGGTGGGGCACCCAAGTCTGGGAGGTCACATGCCTTGCCAAGGAAGGACACCCAGGTGGGCTCAATGGCACTGCCCTAGCTCCACAGTCTGAGTCTGACTCCCCGTGCCTGGGCAAACCCACTTTCCAGGGTGAACAAGGGCGACCCTACAGCTACTTCCCCATGGCGGGTTGTCTGTCAGTTTCCACAGTCCTGAGTGTCTAACATCAGCCACGGGGCTCTGCCAGGGACGGGGCTCTGGCCACAGCTGTTCAAAGCCCCTCCCAGTGCCACCAGAGAGCTCCTGTGAGAGTGTGGGGGTATTGCTGGTGCCAGTGGCTCACGCCTGTAATCTAGCTACTCAGGAGGCAGAGATCAGGAGGATCATGGTTCAAAGCCAGCCCAGGCAAATAGTTCACGAGACCCTATCTCGAAAAAACCCATCACAAAAGGGACTGGTGGAGTAGCTCAAGGTACAGGCCCTGAGTTCAAACCCCAGTACTGCAAACAGACAAACAAAAAAGACCTGGGCTTAAGAAAACTTGGCTGAGCACAGGTGAGTAAACCACCATGACAGACCCTAATGGAGGAGGGGAGAGCAGAGGGACACGGCTAGCCAGGCGGTTCCGTTGACCAGAAGCTCTGGTGCTTTGCATTCTCAGTGTAGGATGTGTACAGCTCCCCAAACTCTCAGGGACAGAGATGTACATGGCACCACACCTCGGCCACGCACTTGCAGGCTGGCTCGGGTTTCCACCCTCCTGACTCCTGACAGGAGGGCTGTGCAGCTACTTCACAGCGTGGAGCCAGGTGTGTGCCCAGCCCACGGGGCGATGCCTGCCATCCTGGGACTCACGCTGCCTCCTCCTCTGAGTCACTCAGGGGAGACGCTGACCATGAGCCTCAAGGGCAGCAGAAGGCAGGTCAGTGTCCCAACCTGGGACTTGGGCAGCTCTGGGTTCACCCAGCCCTCTCAGCAGGGATCCTGGACAAGTCTCTGTTTTACCATTTCTTTCCCCAGTTTCTATGGAGCTCATTGTAACCACCTTTAGGGTTACAGTGAAGGTGCTAGGGGATGACACACATTTAGTGCCCAGCAAGGATCCATGGTTGGTAACACCAGTTTTTGTCTTCCCTTTTTTATGCCAACCTAACACCATGGGCAAACACTTCCAGTGGCTTTCCAGTGGCCACCCTATGGGGAAAGGCAGTGGCCAGAGCCCATTCCTCCTAAAGCACATGGAAACAGGACAGAGCCCTGTCCTCGTACAAACAGTGCCCACCCATGCACCCCAACACCCCACAGGGCACATGTGATGAGCACCAGCAAGTGACAACAACCTGCTCAAAAACCTGCTGTTCAAAGCCACCAAGTGCCACACCAGTGCCTGGAGAGCCTTGCAGTCACCAGACAAGAGAACCCCTTCTGCCTTTAGGTGACTCCAGGTCTTCCTGGCTCACAGATAAGGAAACTAAGACTCAGGGGCTACGTCCCACCCTGTGCCCCAGGCTCCTCATCGTGAGCTTGAGGCCACCCAAGGGCCATGCAAGTGTCTGAGGCCCCTGCTCCCCTGACATGTGCATAGAGCTTCTGAGTACTCAGCACACTGAGGGGACTGGAAACTTTGTGGTCTGAGTGTCCTCAGACTTATGCTATCACCACCCACTGCAGAGCGCGTGTCCCTTTTGTGGAGAACACAGCTCAGTGACTGCTGCTCTGGCCCCAGTGGAGTGGGGTGGCATGGAGGAGGGGCCCAAAGTGATTATGCAACTGGCCAGCTGTGTGATGAAATCGGGCCTCATCCAGCCAACTCCCTGCACCTCTCGTTTTCATCCACAAAGAAGGCATGGACCAACAACCCAGGCCACTTTCTGTCCATCTCAGCACCTACCTGCCCTGCAACCACAGACGCCAAAGCCAGGGACACGATGCACCCACCTCCCTCCACCATGAGACACACGTGACATCCAGAGCTTGAAGCTCATGCTGTAAGTGTAAAATGCAGGCCAAGTTGCACTCACAGTATTTCAAAAAGGTAAAATATTGAATTAATTATTTTTCTATTAATGACAGTACTGAAATATTTTGGATGTACCAGATTAAGATTTTGTTATTAAAATTAATTCCGCCTGTTTCTTATTACCTCTTTCATGTGGCTACCAGAAAACATAAAACCGCATGGATGGCTAGGTGGCCTGCACGGGTTTAACTTCTTAGCACTCCACAAGACTTGACGTAGTTTAACCACAAGGTGGCAGAATTTCTCCAACCCAGGGATGGAAATTGCCCCGAGTCCTTCCTTCCCTCTCTGTCAAATCACCATAGGTGATTCCTGCTGGCCAGGGCCTGCTCCAATACAGGAGAACCCAGACTGAGGTCAGACAGGTCAGGTCATCTGCTGCCAGGTCTCACAGAAAAGTAAAGGAGTCAGGGTTTGAACCCAGGACCCACTCCCTATGAGCATGAACGTCACCTCAGATCCAGGCTCCTGCAAAGACTCAAGTCTTCCACCAGGAAAGGACTGGGCAGAAGGGAGAGACCAGGTTTGCTCTGAGCCCCTTGGACATGGGAGACAAGGTTGTGGCTGCTCTTGGATGAGGAGCTTGAACTCAAACTTCTCAGCCTGGCTGGGCACAGTGACTCGTGTAATCCTAGCTACCTGGGAGGCAAAGATCAGGAAGATTGTAGTTTGAGGCCAGCCTGGGCAAAAAGTTCACGAGCCCCCGTCACAGACAATATAAGCAAGGGCGTGAGCGCCTGTCATCCAGCTACAACTACTTGAAAAGCGTAACGAGGAGGATCTTCCTCTAGACAGCCTGGGCGTAAACACAAGGTCCTACTCGTAAAAATAATTGTGGCACAAAGGGCTGGTGGAGTGGCTCACCTGCCCAGCAAGCATGACTGTGTTCAAACCCCAGTACTGCACCCCCCAAAAAAAAACCTGCCCAGATTGGACTATGAGCACATGATAAAAGCTTTAGCACACAAGGGAGGGCTGAGGATAGGTAAGACACCTAAAAAACTAGCTAGCATTTGTTGCCCTTAACGCAGAGAAACTAAAGCAGATACCTTAAAAGCAACTGAGGCCAATAGGAAAAGGGGACCAGGAACTAGAGAAAGGTGAGATCAAAAAGAATTAACCTAGAAGGTAACACACACGCACAGGAAATCAATGTGAGTCAACTCCCTGTATAGCTATCCTTATCTCAACCAGCAAAAACCCTTGTTCCTTCCTATTATTGCTTATACTCTCTCTACAACAAAATTAGAGATAAGGGCAAAATAGGGTGAGGGGAGAGGGAGGGGACGGAGTGGGTGTAAGGGAGGGGGTGGGGGCAGGGGGGAGAAATGACCCAAGCCTTGTATGCACATAGGAATAATAAAAGAAAAAAAAAAACCTGCCCAGAACTGCCCACATTCTGCCACAATCTGCAAATGGTACTAGACTTCCATAACCTCCATAAGGAAGAGAGACTAGACCCCAGGGACACTCTCAACCAGGGACAGAGCTTGCTGCCCATCTGCAGAGTAAGGAAGGGATGCATGACTGCTGCCCAAGTCCAGAGATGGGGCCTCAACTCTCCCTGGCACAGCACAAAGCAGGGAGGGCTTCCTGGAGGAGGAGACTATGGCCCCCACAGCCTCTAATTCTATAAGTTTTCTGGGCTTTCAGGGGCCCAAGAAAGGTCCTCAGTGACAGCATGCAGTTCCAGCAGAATTACACAGACACACCTGCACGGTTAGCAGGTTCCCAGGTGCACTGGGAACACTGGGAGCACTGGACTGGCCCAGATTCTGCAGAACGGGAGGACAGGCAGAGAAGGCCAGGGTGGAAGGGAAAGTGCAACCTGAGAGCAAGAAAGAAGATCCAAGTCTGCATGCTGGAAAGGGGCATTTGGTTCCCACACATTCACTTGACCCATGCAGACAAGTTCTCAGTGCCCAAACACAGCACTTGAGAGGTTCAAATCTGACACCTCACCCTGAAACTCCTGGGACCCCAGCCCTCCAGAAGCACAGATGTCTGCTGCTGATAATCCATCACCTGAGGACTTGGGCTAAATGCTTCCGGTACCTTCAAATAGCAGGGAATCAGGCCAGGCTTCTAGAGAGAACCCAACACTCCAGGCCCCATCTATGAAGACCTTCCCAGGTGAATCGTGCCCAGGCACAGGCCTCTCCAGGGTGTCCCCTGGATGTTCCCTACTTCGGGCTGCAGATCACTCTAGGATCGCCCATCCACTCCCACAGGACTATCCCCCCACACACACACAGAGGCCCACTTCCGGAGACGTTGCAACTGCATCACAGCCGCGAGTTGGGAGGGAGGAGTCAAGAGTTTGCACCTCCCCATTCCTGGAAGGACCCAGGACCTCAGATGGCCTCTTGCCTGCTAAGTACCGGCACCTGCAGGAGCCGTGGTGCCTGACCACAGAGGACCTGTCTCCTGTCCCTCGCTGGCACGGTGTCACTCCGCTGACCCCCGCCCACTGCGCTCTCCCTGGGGTCCCAGCCTCCATGTGCGTAGAAAGCCGGGTGCCCCCTCGAGGGCAGAGGTCCCTCTGCTGGTTCAAGATCTCTAGGCGCCCACCTTGGGGACATTCTCGGTGGTTGCGTGAACGACCTGGAGGAAGTTCTCAGGTGGATCGGGGCGCACGTTCTACCCTGGAGGGCGCATCGGGGCCTTACCCGCGGGGTCCGAGCCGGGCTCGCAGCCGGGGCGCGCGGTGGCGGCCAGCACGGCGAGCGCGGCCAGGAGCGGCGACAGAGACAGCCGCATGGTGGGCGCGCGGGCGGCGGGAGGGCGCAGTGATGTGGCACTCGGGCCGCGCGGCCAGGGCTGCGCTGCGCTGCGCTGTGCGGCTCCGGGCTCAGGGCGGGCGCCCCGAGCGTGGACGCTCAGGAGTCGGGTTACAGTGGGCAGCGCCAGAAACTGGAGAAAGGATCCCGCTGCAGGAGGAGAGGCAGATAAACGCCACAGCCGGCCCCCTGGGGCGGGGAGTTCCGCCCTCTCCAGAGGGTGACCTCCCCTCCTCCTGCTCCAGGGTCTGAGGAGCTGATCTCCGAATTCCCTGCGAATCCTGGGAGCCTCAGGCTGGGTCTGAGGTGGAAGTGAGGGTCCTTGTCCCAGAGCTGGCCCGCGCTAGCAGTGAGGGAGGCCTGGGAAGTGAAGGAGTGTCCCGCCGCTCTACCCTGTCCTTGTGACATTCCCTTGTTTGCAAAGGAAACATTTCCATGTGGGAAAAACCAGGAGGGGCGGCTCCTCCCCGACCTGAATGAGCACTAGTCTCTAACATCCTGGGGAAACCTTCCCTACAGGGAGCTGGCTGGCCCCTGGGTGCTCAGGAAGGGCTGAAGGATTGAGCAGTTCATTGAAGGAGGGCCTGTGTGGCCCAAGTGGTGGCCTGAGGCCCTTCTGCCTCCTCTTTCCTGGACCACGGATCAAGGGGAAGGTTGTGGGTGAGGAGGTGAACCCACTGGTGACTGAGCAGCAAAGCGCTAGCCTGCACGCCTGTACCTGGGGAGTGAGAGACTCCTCTCCACTTCTGTGCCCCTCTGTTATGGCTAGGCTCACCCTGCAGGGAGCCACAGGCAGGAGATTCCAGGGCCTGGGAGCCGGAGATCCCAAACCAGTGCCAAGGTGAAGAAAGACAGCCTGGAGCCCTGGGCTCAGCCTCTGCTTGGAGGCTTGCGCTCCCACCAAGGGAAGGACCGACCATCCCATGCAGCCGGATAGGACCTGATGCTACAGTACAGATGCGTTCTCATCTGTCTGCCAGACACTTCTCACTGCCCCATTGCTGGGTGCCCATCCGGATGCACATGCTCCAAGCTCTGGAGACAACACTGGCCAGATGCTGTCCACAGCCTACTCTGTTCCCGGATGGGGCATTTGACCCAGATAACCTTTAGGGACCATGGATTGTTCCAGTCAGCTGGAGGTCCAAGTGCAGAGGTCAGTGCATGGACCCTGGGGTCAAATGCCATTCGATCCCGAGAGTGTGGATGAGTTACTTAGCTCAGAGACTGGGTTGGTAGTGACAGTGCCCCTTGGAGCACAGTCATCCCTGGCACAGCAGGGGCTACTGCCACTATTTCAATACCTCCCAGCAGTTCAGCACTGTCTTGTGTCCACCTGGGTTCAGCCTGCTCCTTCCAGAGGCAACTGACCTCCCTCACCAACCTCCTGTGTCCTTGCCTTTGACCTCCTTGTTTCAGGCTCCTGGTTCAGACCTCTTTGCTGAGTCTCTATGCACGCCAGGGTGGGGACCTGGGACTCTCCAAGTGCAGCCTTCTTCTGGGGTGGGCATGTCCTCTGTGGCACACAGATTAACAACACTGCTTAGAATGGGTGATATTTTAGATTGGATGAAACCAGCTGTGATTCAACGCTCTTCAGCCAGGATGGCCCTCGACACCCCCTGATCCCCACACACAGACTAAGTGGTTCACCAGAGACAGATCACAAGCCCTTCCCTTCCCAAGGATGGAGAGGTGTCTGCGCCCTCCCCATCCCACCAGGTCCCTGACCTAGTCCAGCCAGGCACCTGATGGCGGTGTTGTGGAGAGGGGAGAGGGGCTGACAAGATGGGGCCCAGTGAACCAGCAGAGGCAGCCAGAGTCCGAAACCATGGCACTCAGAGCCTGGGTCATAGAAAGAAGTCATGTAAGGTCCTGCCTCCGCTGTCCCAGCTGAGTCACTTTCCTAGTCAAGTGACCCTAATCCAGTGACCTCTTCTGGCGAGTCTGGGTACTCTCAGGGCCAAGTGGACGGGGACCCCTTGGGCTCTCGGCAGAGCATAGCCTACGTTAGCTGACTTCCCAGGAGCTCCCTGTGCTGGTGGAGGGTGGGACAGAGATGGGCTGCCTTGTGAGGGGCTGGCGAGGCTCCAGGGGCTGTGGCCATGAGTGGCACAAGAAGACCTGAGGATGCCCAAGGAGGGCTGCAGCCAGATGCCCCAAGGGACAAGGAAAGGTGTGCCCACTCACAGTCCCCTGGCCAGGACTGCTGCCCTGTCCCATCAGGCTGGAGGCTCAGGAAGAGTGGTTGAGAATCTCAAAGGACAAGAAAACAAGCCACCTGAGAACACTGTGCCTTGGGCTCCCAGGAGCCTCCTTCTGTCCCCCGCTCTCCTCTTCAGGCTGCTACCCTGACCGATGGACTCAGCAGTAAACCTGGTCCCCAAATAAGTGAGCACATCGTAGTCCCCGTGGCTCTCTGCCTTCTGCCACACAAGGAGAACCGGCTAAGGTTCAAAAGAACTGGGCGCCAGCCTGCCCCTCTGCATCCCCTCCTGCAGCTCAGGGCTTGCTGTGGTGTCTTGGGTGCCCAGCGGGGACAGCCTGCAGAGCAGAGATGGGAGAAAGCTCTGCCTTCCTCAGGATTAAACAGTTGGCTGCAGGCTAGTACAAAGGTGACATCCCTCTCTTTTTGGGGGAAATGAGAGACCCTCTGAGTGAAACGATAATTGGGTCACAAAGCTCTCAGGACAGGTTCCTGTTATCAACATGTGCAAGGGCACGTGAAAAGCAGTTTTCAAATTCAAAGGAGACTTAAGCTTAAGGCAAAGGAGGGTGTGAGCCTGAGAGCAGTCTTCCAAAAAACTCTGTGGACCTCGAGGGAGGCAGAATGCGAGAGGACACAGCCACCATCTCGTCAGCAGTGCGCCTCTTTCCAACTGTGGGACTTTGCAACAGGACAGGATACATGTGTGTCCATGAAGGGATTAAGGTTGTAACTGGTGGTTAACATGGCGAGGATGTGGTAATGCGCTCTGGAGACCGAGAGGCTCCCCTGTGGCACCGCTCCCCTGTGCAAGCTCAGGCCAGCTGGGAATACAGGGGACTCAGGGTCCACATGCCTCCACTGAGCCAGGGAACAAAGCCCTTCTACCACAACTCACACCAGGAGCCCACAGTCCTGGGCTGGAAGGACAGGAGGGCTGCACTGGTCTGGTTTGGTTGGCTTATTGTTTACTTATTTTTATTTATTTTTAATTTATTGCCATGCTAGGAATAGAAGCTTAGCACAGAAACCTCAGGCAGGCCAGGCAAGTGCTCTACCACCGAGCCATGCCCCCACCTGTTTTAATTTTTTACCAGCTTCCTGACCATGGTCCCTAAAGTTATTATTCCCAATAGTTGTATAGTTGAGTTGTTTTTTATGATTTACAAACACTGCTTAGTGTTCCCTTTTAGAAGGAGGCTTCGAGACTCAGCCACCTGGTTTGTTGGAAAAGTGCACATCAGGCTGATTGTCCCTGGATCCAACAATTATGGATGTGCTGGTGGCCACTGCTGTGACCACAGGGGCTCTGCGGACTGCCAGCCAGGAGGAAAGACCCCCAGGACCATGCTGTTCTGGTCACTGGCCTCAGGTGGGGCGGCACATGCTGCTAGCTCTCCTGCCTACAAGATGCCACAGTGAGGCCATGCAGCCATGTGGTGTTGCCTGAGGCATGCAGCCCACCTGAATTCTGCAGGGTGTGGGCCTGGGGCCCAGAGGGGAAAGAAAGCGACAGTGATGGGGCATTTGAACAGGAAATGACATCCATTCATTCACCATTTCCCTCACTTACTCACGCCATGCACCCCTCCTCTGAGGGCCCCGTAGGGGGCTGAGCGCCATTCTTTTTCTGAAGTATGAAATATGACAGATGTGCACAAAGTTGCTGGACGTTGTCCTGTGGAAACATTTAAAGACACTGACAGTGGTGTCCTCACCAGGACCTGTGATGTCGAGACTGAGGAGAAGGCTCACTGCTGTGCCCTTCTCCTGGCACCTGGGGCTGAGCAGAGGGGCAGCAGTTGGGGAGTGGGTCCCTCCCCTTCCTGGGCCACCTTCCCTGGACACCTGGCAAACTGGCTACCGCTGCTGATCACTTGACCGTCTTATGACCAGAGGCCGGCCATGGACTTAAAAGGGAAAGGGTCATTGGCTTATATGGTGTCCCCCTCAGAGTTAGCTCTGAGCACAAGAGACTCCTTGTGCCTCCCACCAAGATCCGGTCCCTCCGAGGAAGCCAAGAAGGAGCTGGACTGCAATCTACCTGAGCAGCCCAGGTGTGACAGTGGACAGAAATGGAGTGGAGGGTGGGTCTCAGGCTTCTCAGGGATGGGCATTTCTCAGGGGACCCTCACCTCTAGCCTGCCCCTGACCACAGATTACCAGACATGAGGTCTGGCTCACTGTGGTACTTGCTGACAGCAAAAGGGGCCATGTTACTAACCAGGCTGGAGCAGCGCCATCAATCTAGCTGTGCCGTGGGCCCTTGGTAAGCATGGGCTCCCTCCCCACGGTGACAGCATCCCTTGCAGGACACTCATGGGGCATGGGCTACCCATGCTGTGCTGCCTTGATTACCCTCAAGCATCACACCAAGCCCAGGAAAGTGTGAGGAAACTGAGGCTCAGAGAGGGAAAACCACTGTCCTAGGGCCACACAGCCACAACCACAGCCAGAGTCATCCACAGCCTCTTATTCCACCTTGCACCCCAGGTTGACACGTCCATTCTCTTCCTCCCTCCTCCATGCATGGCACCCTCTGTCCACAGCCAACTGTTGTTTCCTGGGGTCCCAAGTGGTGTGTCTGAGTGGACCAGTGCCCCACCCCCTGGGTTCCTTGGGAGGGTGAGGCCAGCAAGTCCTGGTCAGTCCTTAGTGTGCCCCTCAGGCAGAAGTCCCCCTCCACATCCAAGGGCTGTTGCGGACAGAGGCCGGGCACAGCTGACTTCTCAGCAGACAGTCGTGCCCAGCAGCCAGGATGTGGCGCGGGGCCAGTGCTGGCACATTGACATCGTCACCATGCAGGCGCTCATGCTGCTGGTGGACCTCCACCCCAGGTAGCCAGCCACGCTACCACCCAAGCCCGGGACTGCGCGGCCTCCTGACTTGCCAGACACAGTTGCTTTGCCGCCCCCCTGCCCACAAGTGTCCACATTGGGTCCTTCCTAGGCATCCCAGAGTGCCGATGCCTCTCAGTGTCCAAAGCATTTGCCTCTGGGAATCTGTGCTCACGGCACCCACGGAGTTTTGGCAGGGAGTTGTGTGGTCACCAGAGGCTTCTCAGGGGCCTCATTGCCAGGCATATCAGCCGTTCTCCCCTGGGACATGTAGGGGTGAGTGCACCCCGGTTCTGAAATCAATTCCCAGGAAAAGATCTCTGGCGTATTTTTAGCAACTGTAGAATAAGTGCACAGTCGCCTAAGGACCACTGGTAGGACCTGCTCCTGGACGTATCACCTCTCTCGGGCAAAGCCGTCTACCTCACTGACGCCTGTCCAGGCACTTGAGCATGGGGCTGTCACTCAGTTCATTACCATAGTGTGAGGGGCACATGCCGCTCATCCAGCTATGCTGCCCCCACTCTCAATCCCACGCTGCCCCTTCCTCACCGGAAACACCTGCCAGCTCTTGCTGACCTGCATCTTCTGCCATCCAAATGGGACCATTTCCCTCTGTACCAGCAGCACCAGGCACAGGGCCCCCCACACAGCAGGTGCTCAGCAAATGCTTAGAGTGAGGGAGACATGACTAACCTCATAAATGCGCCTAACAAGGAAAGGCTACATTGTATCCTCACTTCTTATCAGGAGCCTGGGAAGGCACCTTGCAGAGAACACAGAGAAGGTAAGCAGACTCCTTCAAAGTGAGTACCATGGAACCCACGCAGCCAATGCAGCCTTCCCTCTTACATGTGCGTGCACTCAGGTAGACATGCACGCTCACACAGAAACACTCGGACCTTTGCACATATGCATGAAAGTAAGGGTAAGACCCATAAACTAACAGCGTCGCAGCTGGCTACACCAGGCTCAGTGTATTCACTTATCATTTCAAACTAAATGCTCAAGCAGGGTCCACATGGCAGAGCCCTTGAAACTCCAATACTCATGCCCTACTCACATGCACATACTTGTACACACGTGTACACACCAGCACATATGTGCACACGTATGTATGCACAGGCAGGCAGACACACATGCGTGTGCACATATGCAAATACGTTTTGCCTCTGCCGGTTCACAGAGGGATATCACAGCTCCCAGGCACACTTGTGCCATGCACTTTCCTTAGAACCAGAGGCCTCGGCCAGGTTCCATGTGAGGACCGAGTGTGCCGGTGAGCCTTCAGAAGCCGGGTGCCATGTCCCTGAGCCTGGTGGAATCAGTGGCCAAGAGCAGCGTCACTCACACCCTGAGTACTGATTCCAAGACTCTTCAAGGGAGCCTGAGAGGGAAAGGAGAGCCCAATGCTCCAGAGGCCTACCAGCCCACAGGGATAAGTGGCCCCCCTCCCAGCCACACCTAGACTCCTGTGTCCTAAGAACACAGAGCCATTCCGAACAGATAGGCTGACTTCCCAGGGCACCAGCCAGCAGCCCCAGGTGACCCATGAATGAACAAGCCAGGAACTTGGCACTGTACCCTGCGCCCAGCCCACTCCTCTTGGCTATGCTGCCCCAGCCCCTTGTAGCTAAAGGCCAAAAGTATTTCCCACAAGCCACTTATGCCAGGGTGTCCTTCTGCTGTTGCCCAGACATGGAGGAGTAGAGACCACCAGGAAGCCTGGCCACTATAGGGACCGTTCATGAATGAGAATCCCCAAAACCCTCCACGCAGAAACACAGATCCAGCCAGCCATCATCATGACATGGGACAATGGCTCTAGATCCTTTGTACGGGATCTTCCCCAGGCCCCTACAATCCAAGCAGATCTGGTCCGACAGGTACAAGGGCCACAGTCTCCAGGGAAAGGGTCAGGGAAGGAACAAAGAGGGCCCCCTGGACACTCCCTTGCCCTCCACCCAGAGTCCCCCACACCCACACCAGGAGTTGCAAACCTAGGCCTGGCTGGGTCCAAATCATCTCACTGACTTCGTGCTTCCTGGGCTAAAAGGGACAGTGATGGTCCAAACAGACCCTGTGCTGGCTGGCTCCCATTCAGGGAGATGGAGGCTGTTTCCTCATTTATGAGATGGGATGTTGGGCTAGTGAAATTTGTGTCCCAGGGGGTCTGTGACAGGAACTAAGGTGACACCCTGGCGCCTCAGGTGTGGAGGAGTGTTGGCTTTCCCCCAGTCCCTGGCTGGGAGACCCCCAAGACCTGCCCACTAAGGCTGAGCCCAGCTTCCATTGGCTTCCAAAACAGGATCCACCTGTTCACCACATGGGGGGCAAAGCAGACAATGAAGGACCCGATGATGGGGCCAATCTTCCTGGTGGCTCGCCAGCAGCGCCTCTTCTGTTCACTGAGCCAGTGCTGCCACACACTGCAGGAGCAGGAGACAGCGGTCAGAGCTGCAGGAGGGGACTGGACAAACCCCAGTCTAGCCCAGAGGGCAGGAGTGAGGGTGTGACATCCAGGCTGGGAGCAGGAGGAAGGCAGAGGACCAGATGAGGAAAATAAAGGAAACATGGAGGCAGGAAGGAAGGGCAGATCTTCCCCTTTCTTTCTCTATGCCTCCCACCCCCTCACCCCTTGCTCTCCTCCCCCTCTATGCACAGCAATCAGAGTTAGGCCTCCAGTCTGAGAAGCCATCCCCCTGCAGGGGAAGCAACTAACTGGGGCAGGACAGATGCTGGGGAAGGGCTATCTGTGCCCATGTGGACAGGGTGGGAGCAACATGCCACAGGAGGTAGCTGGAGCAGTGACACCAGCTAGAGAGGTCAAAGGCAAGCCAGGAGGAGAGCAGACTCTTCCAAGGCTTGAAACCCCAGGCAAAGCAGGGGCACAGGGTCAGCATCGGGCAGAAAAGCAGAATGTCCAGACTCACCCTACATGCCCAGGAGGAGAACAGCTGATATGCCTGACAGCGAGGCCCCTGGGAAGCCTCTGGTGACCACACAACTCCCTGCCAAAACTCCGTGGGTGCTGTGAGCACAGATTCCCAGAGGCAAATGCTTTGGACACTGAGAGGCATCCGCACTCCGGGATGCCTAGGAAGGACCCAATGTGGACACTTGTGGGCAGGGTCAATGGGGGGCGGGAGGCAAAGCAACTGTGTGGGTGACAGGGCCAACAGGCTCTGGCAAGCCGGGAGGCCACGCAGTCCCGGGCTTGGGTGGTGGCGTGGCTGGCTACCTGGGGTGCAGGTCCACCAGCAGCACAAGCGCCTGCATTGTGATGATGTCAATGCGCCAGCAGTGGCTGCGCCACCCACATCACCTTGAGTGACTGAGCAGGGCGGCGGCGTGGAGCGCGGTGGAGAAGGCGACGAAGCACAGGCGCTCTGGTTAGGGTCGCAGCGAGCAGGGTGCGAAGGTGCTGCTGTAGCCCATCCAGGAGCCGGCGAGCGCGGTGAGCGCGAAGGCCAGGGAGTGTCCCCATGTGTAGGCTAGTAGCAGCCGGAGTCGCAAGGTCGCAGGCGCCCGGGCGTACCGCAGAGGGAAGTCCACCGCCAGTAATTGGTCCGCGCTCAGCGCCGCCATGCCCAGAGCAGGGTCGGACGCCAGGAAAGTGTCCAGGAAGCCGACGGCCTGGCACACGCCGGTCCCCGACGGCGGCCGCCCAAGCAGCACGCCAAGCAGCGTGAAGGAGATGTCCAACGCGGCCATGTCGCAGGTGGCCCAGCGACAGGTGCACTAGGAAGGCGCTGTAGGCGCAGTAGAACAGCACTAGCGCGTTGGACAGCAGCGACACGGACACCAGCAGCACCAGCAGCCCGGCCAGCAGCAGCACCTCACCCGCGCCCATGGCGCTAGCGGCTCGCCGGGCTCCCCGCAGGCGGAAGTGGCTGGGGACAGTCTTTATGGCTCGAGGGGAAAAGCACAGTGGCAGAGGAGGCGTGTCCTCGGCTTTGCGGAGACCCTGAGCCGGGCAGGGTGCAGAGCAGCGCGCGGAAAGCCGCGGCAAGTGCCGGCTCCCGGGCGCCAGGACCCGAGCGCAGCGCTACGGGGCAGCAGTGGCCGGGCCGGCTGGCGATCGCGCAGGTCGTGCCGCTGTCCGCGGTGCTGATCGCGCTGGCTGTCCCTCGCCTGCAGACTGTTTCGCCTTGAGGCACTGCCTGTAGGCTGAAGAGAGGCGGGAGGGCGTAGGTTGCAGGGGTGGCAGTTTCTTTACCCGCATCTTATCTTTTCCTTCCCTTCTCAAGTCACACTGGGAGGGGGCTACGCGCTCCTCTGCTCCCGATGAGGTCGGCCACGACCATGGTCACAACTTCTCCACCCCAGCATCCCGCGGTGACTCATGCGTTGACATTCCATCCAGCAGGTTGAGTACTCCCATGCATTGCCCATCACCGTCTGCCTCCAGTGCTGGCACCAAACTGCAATGGCCGGGTTGTTTGTAGGGCGAAGGGGAGGCTGAGGTGTTGGGAGCTGAGGGGCAGGACAGAGAGAGTTCGGGGTGCAGCAGAGAGAGAAAGCAGGCTTGCCACAGGGTATCGCCCTCCCCTCCCCCCCAGGGCAGGCCCAGGAATTGGATCAACGTTGACTGAACCAAGAAGAGCAGCGGGAAGTGGAATAAGAAGGGGAAGAGCAAGAGGACGGGGAAACGAGCGAGGAAGGAAGAGGGCAGCCTGGAAGGACCTGCTCCCCTGGCGGCAATGTGGAAACATCACCAGGTCTGGCACTGACTGGTGGTGTTCTGGAGGTGGGAGTGGTCTGTCTTTCCCCACCTCCACTGCTTCTGAATTTAGTCACCCGTGGGAATCATCCAAGTCCAGTGGCCAGTTGGCAGGACAAGGGCGAGGTGACCGCACCTGGAAGCAGCTGGTTGTAGGAAGCTTTCTGGAGCGTCCTCCCTTATGACAGCCCCTCCCCCACCCATGCTGCCCTGGCCTGCAAGCTCCTCCCATCTACCCCTTCCTTAGGGACAGAGGGGCTGGAGGGGGTGCTTACCCTCAATGGTCTCTTTGTGTCAGTGCCTGAAGGACTGATGAGAAGGCAGGTGGCCAGAGGGATTGATGGGCGATGGGCTGGAGGAGCTGGTCCGCTGAATGGCCACACACTCACTCACACACACGCACACACGTGCGTCCTCATTTCAATCATCTGTAAAATGGGGTTGAAGAATGGCGTCTACCCCTAGTGGCTGCTCCTAAGATTAAACTGGCAAAGGCACCTAAAGTGGTCCTGGCATGCAATGACCCCTTGAATATTGGCCTTTCTTGGGAGTCCATCTTACAGTCAGGGAAACAGAGGCTCCACCAATGTCTGTAACCAAAGCTACATAACCAATGACCAGGGATACTGGGGCTCAAATTTGGTCCTTCTGGCTCCAATCCCAATGCCCTTGTCATCCTGCAGGCCATCAGAACAGCCCTAAGGTGTCCTCCAGCCATCAAATCAGTGATTCCCTCCTCTCAACCCAGCTAACTCTCACCAGCCAAACTGCTTTCAAATCCAGGGGCAGTCTTTATCAGTCGACCTTGCCTAAAGCCAGAGCCACAATGCCAAGGTCCTGACATTCCTGGGAAGAGTGGACAGCTCTATCAGAAGAGGTCACTGGAAATCACTTGGCTAGGAAAGGTGGCCATGCAGTGGGGACTCCAGAGCAGTGGCCAGCTGCAGCTCTGGGGAGCAGTGGATGCCTTGGGTGGCCTCACAGTAGAGTCTTATTCCTCACAGCAACTCCTGCCACTCTCAAAGATTCTGAGAGAATCACAGGGGAACAGAGAGCCCTTTATGGAGACATGAGTGAGGTAAAGCTCTGCCAACTGAGACTATGGAAAGGCTGGCCCTCCATCCACCCATGGGGCTTTACTGGCACCTCCATGTACAAGAGAAGGGACACAGCACAGACCGTGGGGATTAAGCAAGGTTTGGTTCTTGTCCTTTGTGAGCCGAAAGATGTGGACAAAATAAGACCTGACCAATACCACCACCCTGGCCTCCTCCAAGAAATAATGGCTTCATTTTTAAAGACAAGTGAACTGTACCCATGGTATCAAGTGGAAACTGTCATTCTGAGCCAGTTCATATCCAGAGTCGTGTGTTGAGCAAAGAGTGCAAGAATGAGTCTTAAGTGAGCTTGTTTGATTTTATTTCATCTTAAACTTATTTTACTCTGCACTCCCTGACTTTAAGCTGATCTGCTTCTCACCCTTGTCCTCTGGGATGAGTCTTTCTGCCCCTGGCTCTGAGACAGCAACAGTCAGAGCCGTTGGCTCCTCGCGCGAGCCCAGCACTTCTGAGTGTGCCGAAATGGGCAACTTAGGACTTGATCAGAGCAGTGTGGCCCACCCTGGCTGACAGAATGGAGGGGACGGCACTTTAGAGAGGAGGGTGGACAGGAAGGAAAGTGAAGAGGTCCTTCCAGGTCATGGAAGAAACAGAGACAAAGCTGTATGGGGACACATGTCACGTGCCCATGTGGCCCATAAGGAGATGTCACCACACTGGGGAGAGGGGGTACGCATGGTTAAAGCTACAAAAGGCCCATCATAAGCAGCAGAGGCCAGACTCTGTGGGCTTGGAGGGGCCACGAGGAATTGCTTAGACAATGGGAGCCTTTAAATACTGCTGAGTGAGGGAAGGGCCTTGGGGAACCAACACTCACTCTTCTCCTGAGACAGAGCAGCTCAGGGTTAGGTGCACACCTTCGTTTTGTAGAGTCCTTTTAAAAAGTAGTGAAAATAGTTAACATGCTAATGATTTTTTTCTATTTGGAAGAAAAATGGACTAGACCTGCATGCTGCGGTACAGAGGATTTCAAGCTTTCATCAGGAATGAGGGTGATGGGGAAAACACTTAAATGGCATGACATTGATGAGACCGCCAGCTTCTACTACCAGCTACAGCCAGGGAAGGGGGCAGCCAGGCTTGTGAGTTCTGAGACCAGCCATACTGGGGGCTTTTGAGAGAGTGGCAAACAGAGGTATGCAGACATATCACAGCACCCCACAGTCCAAAGGTCTGTCTCCAAGGTCGGCCAGCATCCCAGAGGGACCCTAACATGTCAGTAAAATGACTGACCATCCTTAGGCAGAAAAGTGAAAGCAGGACGACTGATAGGAAGGGTCCCCCCAGGGAGAGAATAAGTGCATGCTTACATTCCCCTACAACACAGCCTCACCTGGACATCAACAGCAGGTGTTTGTGTGGACTCTCCAATGGAAAACGCACCAAGAGCTCAATTCTGACAACCCTGTGGAAAGGATGGGAAGACACCTGTGTGTGACAGAATTCTGAGTGACAGGCTGCTTTTCTGTCTTTATACTTTCCTGTAACTTCTATACTTTCTGTGAAAGCATGAGCCCTTTTGAAAATCATGAAAAGAATTGAAGTCCCCGTGAAAACTGAGCAACGTGGCACCGTCCCCCCCCAGAGCCTCTGCGTGCAACTGGCTTGCTTTTCTCTCTTGGAGCATCTTGGTAAGATCCTGTTAGAAAGCGTCCTCCCAGGAGCAGGGGAAAGAGAGAGAGACAGGGAGTGGATTGTTTAAAATGGCAGAGGACTATTGAGATGTCAATACTGCAGTCATCTTTGCTCCTCGATAGTCACAGGCTCACCAGCATTGAGGTCCCATTAATTCCCTAAGGAAGCCCCAAGGTCACACAGCACCAGAGAGCCCACCTGCGAACACCTAGCACGTCGGATCTGCTCCTGCCTTCCAAGAGTTCACAGACCAGAAACTGGACATGACACTGGGAGGATCAAGGCTGGGACAGAGGGGTTCAGGGAGGTCTGGGGGTGGCATCTGATCCACTCTGGTCTCCTCAGTGTCTGGAAGTGCCAAAGGACAAGAGTTAGACCCAGAGGGACAAGGAGGGGGACATTAAACTAGAAGGACAAGGGGTAGTTGGAAACAGAGCTCTGGGCTGTGGACTGTGGTCAGGGCAGGGTCTAGAACACCTTGGCTGTCAGGCCAAGGAGCTGGGTCAGTTCCCAGAGGCTGTGGGACATCAGCACAGAGGCCAGCTGGAGCAATTTGCATCCTATTCTGGCAGCCCCAGAAGTCTGGGGTCTTGTTCAAACAGCCTGGACCCTGCTGCCCAGAAGCATGCTGGGAAGGAGTAATCTCTGGGTGAGAACCCTCTGGATGGGATGGGTAGGGAGACCCAGAGAGCAGACATGGCCCCAGTGCAGGAAGCCGAAAGGCCCTAGGCTACTCTGAGCCTGGTGTGATCCACCCCACTGAGGAAGACATAGATGGGAAGACCTCCCAGTTAGGCCAGAGCTATTGTGTCTGTTGACACTGGAAGGGGAAAAGACTCCAGCAGACTCCAACTCCTTCTCTGCTGAGGAGTGTGGCCTTTGCCTTTCTGGGCCCCAGCTTTCTCCTCTGTAAAATGGAAACATGGAATCCTCTCTACAGTGTAGACAGGAGTAAAAGATGTCACGAGTGTCATGACCTGTTCCAGTGCTGCCACCCAGCATGGATGGCAATGCAATCGTAGATGGGCTCTAACTCTTCCTGGGAGGAGAACTGCCCCAGAGTATACCAAACAAGAGCTGATTTCCCCAGGATCACTCAGGGCTATGTGTAACCTTGGGCTTCGATCTGCACCAGAGGATGCAGACGGGCATCTAGGCAAAGAGTAGGGTAGGGCGCACAGGAAGGCCGTCAGTTCCAACTGCATGGCCAGGAGTCACCTCAGAGACCTCACTTCAACCGCTCCCTAAACAGGCCGGCCTTGAGCAGGTCACCATCTTTTGATGCTTTATTTTGTTACCTGTCCTTCTTGGCAGGGACTAAGTGAGGCCACGCACATAAGCCACCAGGCCCGCTCAGGGCACAGCAAGTGTGACATT